TAACCCGAAACTCAAAAGATTTTCACCAGAAACAAATTGATGATTATTATTCTAATGTTATCCAACCATATTGTATCGTAATTTTATTTGACCCATGACCCGACCGTACATATATTGCGCCACGACTTACCGATAAAGCTGTTCTCGTCTTCGTTGTCAATAACAACGAGATTTGACGCATCGTATGTGCAATGCTTCTGCGCATCATCCCAGGTTAAGGTTTCATTTCTTATCTTATAACAATTATTTTCAAAATAGTTCCAAGAAGGCGGACATTGTTCACCAACGACTGCGTATATACAAAAACATACTAAGGTTTAGATCGCCAATTAATGTAACAGTTACGTCGTCTGGGGGCGCAGTAAGCAGAGCTGTTTATTGTAAGGAAATCTCTTGACGGTAGGTAATTTTTTGGTTGCAATTTCGCGAGAATTTTCGCCTATACTTGTGTGAGTATTTTGACAAGTGCAGTCATCACGTATTATTCAGTCTATTCAATTAACAGGTTTGGACTGAGAATACACTTTGTATATATACTAGTATTAAACTATCGACTGTAAATGATTTAAACCTATACCTCAATAGCCGTGCATAAATATGCATACTAATTAGTAAACAATTTGCATGTTTCTGATGCGAGTGATATTCTGTTCGATTCGCCGTTAACTTGTAAGCGCGTTCGCGATTGGTCGGCGGCGTGCGCGGTCACCGCCTCGTGCATACAACAAATTGAGTGTGCAAAATCAACCTTTTCAGGATTTCGTCTTGTTTCTAAGCAATATTTACCTGCCATGCCGTGGCGTGATAGATTTGAAAGACGATTTTAGTTCCCATTGCGCTACTGGCTACGAAAGGAAATACATATTGCGTATTCAGACAAAAAAAATAGTACGTAACAGAAAAAGTCGTCTATTGTTGTTACAGTATCTGCAAAATAACAACAATTTTCTGAACGGCAGCTACAAATTGGCGTGGCCGATTACTGACACCAAACTGTCTGAAATCCAAACTTACCGAATGACGTGTATGTTATTTCGAATCCTTTCTCTTGAACGAAAGCATCCGTTTCGAACATTATAAATAACGACTGTCCAGTACTTGTGACATGTACCGGGTTTTCATCACCACATACCCGTAAAAGTCGTCTCGATTCACTGGATGTACCTGAATCAACAAGAATTCGACGTTTGGCAATTGATGTATATGTCAACAGAAATTTCAAGAGCCAAAATAGTTCGATGTGGGACCCATGCGACGTTTAAAACGAGCGTAAAATTCATTGTTGTTTTGTAAAATGTGGTGGCGCTTTTAGATTTAACCCACAAAATAATCACAACACTCTATGGAACTGGATTTGACTGGATCGCAGCGCTGTCAATTTCACCCACAAACAATACGATGCAATTAAGAAGACGATCAGGCACGCGTTTCTTGTTTCAACCTTAACAAGAATAATAATTTCCTAGAATACAACGAGGCGTTACGATAACGGTTGAGTAACGTTGAGTATTATTTAAATACTTACAAATAATTTTGTTTGATATTGCGTCTTGATAAAAACAATTGGTCATGATTTTAAATTTTCGTAAAATATATTTAGGTTGCAAACACAGGAGTATTTGTTCAATGAAATACTGAACATTGTGAATTAACAGTACATATCGGCGAACCCAGAAAGCATTCGCATTAAGGGGTTGCTATAAAAGGAACGGTGGCCTAAATTATGGTAAAGTACAGACCTTTTAAACAAAACTTAAAGTTGCTCAAAGTTATCCACATTGCCTATTAAACTAATGCGTTTTGAATTAATAGTACGCACCGGTGGGTCAATGCGCATTTGAAGTATTTTGTGTGCGGTCAAACAGTGGCAATATTTCAGCTTACGATAAAAATGCGAGTTGGTACATCCACAAACAATACTCGAAACTATCAAATTATGCATATTGCTTCTCCAACTGCATAAATTTGCATATCATTATACTCACCGTCGTGAATAGCAATGGCATCGAAGGGGCACACCTCTAACCGAAAGTCTGTGATCTCGATGTGAACTCGGTGGTCACTAGATGGCGCCCTCATTTCCCACATACATGTGATGCCATTTGGGTACGGTTCCGGATAATTTGGTGACGTCAAATAGTGCCTCGTTCCCGGGGATGCATGTAAAACTAGTGTATCTGGTGGACAAGAACCGTAGCCTGCAATGCAGTATATTCGTATTGATTATAATCCAATTGCTGTACAGCTTTACGAAAATAGCTAAGGAAAACATTTTATATTAAAGCGCGGCAGTCGTCACGCTGCGCATGTGCGATAAGTCTGTTGATAACATTGATTTTCCCACAATCCAATGCGCTCTTCTAATCATGGAAATCATGAGTATAAGATTTTACCTAGAGCGCAACTTGCACTAATTACCGCCAGTGACTTCTTCGATACCTTCTAATCACCTAAAATATACCTAATTAAAGCTTCGTAACATCTCAGTTTTTACTCGTTGATCTGCGAGTCAAAGTCAAAGTCGCCACCTTTGTTTCTATGAGACCCATATATCTTGCGCATGCGTGGCGCGATGACAACCGCCCTTTAAGCTTTAGCGGATAGGGTACAATATGCTATTTCTATGCAGTTCACAGCGAATCCGCTTATAAACTAATAAATAACAAAACAATACTGTGTATATCCCTTTAGACACTGTAGACTTGTTCTAGAAGGCGAGTTGACCTACAAGGTCACTTGACCTACATAGTGACTTGGCCAACACGGTAACATGAGCCACACGCTGTCCTACGTGAAGGTGACCTATATAATAACATATATACTATTATTATACATCTGTCACCGTAACGCCATAAGTTACAGCGTGCCGTAATTTTGCGGTTTTTTACGGGGTATTTTTCATCCTACCATATAAGGAAATGTGAATTCCAAATATGGAATGATTACGCGCGTAAGCGTCCTCTAAAACAAATACGGCTGCCACCAGCCTGAGGGTTTGAACGGACTCCACATAAAGACGTTTGCTGATTCTGTTCAAAACGTTATGGATTACGGCATTCCCATGATGTATCCTTGGAAGGAAAAGATGTATAAAAATAAGGTTATTGCGAGGATACCGCTCAAAGTATGCGCGTCGGTCGATACTCCCGCTGTACTGTCTTCGTGCATATTTTGAGGTACTATGTATCCTCGTAATAACCTCATAGTATACACACGTACCTTGCAATATAAGATCATTCCAGCAAACCAACACCATGACAACTAAAATAAATTAAAACAGTACGTCAGTATTCAATATTATCTCATTGTTTTCATATATTTGTTGTGTTCACCTTTCATCCTGCAACAGATGCCTGCTCTGACACTGACTCCAGGATGTAATGCTATTGGCCAATATAAATTTGCATATGTAAGATAATTGTACTACAACCAATCACATTCCACAGCAGACACACCCCGAAAAAAAATAATGAATTAGATGCCCATATTTGTAAAAAAGTTTAATATTATGGAATAGGCGTTCAAAAATGCTCGCTCACATGTTTTCGTTTTTAAACAACAATTTATGGCTGAGTGCTATATTTCGTTTCAACACTTTTCACGGCGTGCCGATTGATCTGGAAGTTATTGTTGTGGCAAAAATGATGTAAATGACCTTGTGAGGTAATGTTCACTTAATGCGTCTAAATATTCCTCTTTCTATGAGAAGTTTAAGAAGCAATTTCTTAGAGCATAATATTTTAAAATTTCGACTGAGAGATTGTGAAGTGGAACAACTCAACTTTAAAAATAGCTCGAATCAATGTCATAAACTGCATAAAGGTTTTATAAATGTAACGAATGAAGTTTTTGATATTTATTTGAGCAAAAAGATCCCATCAACTAAATTGTATCATAGAAATAATGACTTTGTAATTTCCCCCCTGCTGGCATCGGACCCTTCCCTGGCGGTCAATATAAATTAAAAATTAGTCAAAATATCAAAACTCGGGTTCATAATTTAAAAATTTTTTTTTTTCATATCTTCAGTTTGTTTCCAAAATAACATTTTGAACTGTGTAAAAAGCTCAAAAAGTTGATAGCTGTCTAAATCAACAATAGTTATGTAACAATTTTGACAGAATGTTTTAGTCCCTATTTTAGTAGGTTGAATCCCACGAACGGCCTTTATTATGTTGCCGTTAACACACTTTTTGGGATTTATATTCGGAATAAAACTTGGGACACCATAACAAGTATTTGAATTATGAACCTCAAATGGATATTCTCGTTCTAATTGCAAACAGAAAAGCGTAGGTTGTTTGAAAAAAAAAAAAAAAAATATTGTTTCGCCGTTTCTACCAGTGTAGATTTGGATCCATGTGAGATTTCACGGTACATTCGCCATTGAACACTACCAACTGTTAAATAAATAAAAGCAATCACTATATATATTTATGAAATGTTTATTATTTATCACGTGACTTCACAATGATACATTAATACAGCCTGAGTATTATTATTTACAATATGATTCACCGAATACGAAGATAAACACCCGACCCCACCCGACCGTCTCCTGGTATCTCACTTCCCTGTGTTGCGTTGTGAACAGCTCACTGGCCCGGGGCCCAGCGCAATCAAATGCACTGTTCTGTTTGAGTTCAATTAAGCCGTCGTAATCATAGGTTTACATGAGGTTGAAGTGGACTGATAAAGAGCACCAATCCGAGACCTAGTCACAAAGTTTATGCATAATCAGCAATGCTGGGAAGAGGCTCGGCACGTTGGTTGTACCAGGGAGGAAGTCTGTTGATTTGAAGAGGGGGCAGTCTGTGATCTGGTACGGGGACGGAATGCGGAACGTTGTGGGGTTGATGATTGAAATAATGACAGTCCACCAAACATTCGCCGACATCTTCTGAAGCGTTTTTTCTGTTAATATTGATTGCTTTGACGACAGTTTCACGTCCTCTGGTGCGACGGTAAATTGAAACGACTTTTCCTTTCAGGGTTTTCTGCTTTGGACGTCCTGGTGAGTTGTCGGAAGAACCGCGGTCTGGACTTATATCTAGAGTTTCACAGACTACGCCATCACCGGATACTTCGTTTATATCGTTTCTATTTCTATTAATACTGATTGCCTTGACGACAGTTTCCCGCCCTCTTGCACGGCGGTACAGCGAAGTGACTTTTCTTTTCAGAGTCTTTCGTTTTTCACGCGGTCTCGGTGAATAATCGGAACCGGGGTCGGAACTGTCGTTATCTTGGGGCTCCCAGCACGCTCCCATATGCCTCGGCGAGGGATTGGGGCTGCAAAGCGCTGATTCCAAGTCAATTTCTTCACAACTGTCATACCTGGTTGTGAGCGGCGACGGATTTCTTACAGAATAAGTTTCTTCCAAACTGTTTTCGATTTCTTCAACATCTTTAGAATCAAATTTGTTAACAGCAACTTTTTCGTTTTTGATTACTTGAACTTTAGTCTCACGTCCTGTTACTCGACGAAACTTTGAAACGATTGTCGATTTCAAACTCTTCTTCGTAGGCTTCGGTAGAGAATCGGAGCTTTCCGGAGACACACAGTCCACACTGGATGTAACAGGTGTAGGATTCCGACTTGCCATTTCAGGTTCACGATGTCTTACCTCACGTTCGGGACTGAGTGTACGTGACTGGCAACAAAACATGACTTCAAAATTAAGTATATCTCAGTAAGAAGTTACACAGATTGTCTCCGCTGCGACTCGTACAAGTTTTCGAATGACTCTCTGTTTGGGGCTCGATCCGTTGTTCTTCTATGTTGCCATGGACAGCGAATGTGACGTACAACGCGTCCTCTCGTAAACGCGGTGTTCGAACACGCGGCAATCGCGACGAAATATCAGTTCAAATATAGTGCCGCGAAATAGTACTATTACTAGAGTTACAGATTTGCGACCTTTAAAAAAGTAGTTCATGTACCATAACAAAATCCCGAGAATACACGCAGGGCTAATTTTGTTAGACATTTTCCTTCGCAGAGACTATTGGTCTTTTATCATTAAGCTAGGTAGTTGCCAGGGAACGCGCCCCAGTTGCGGCTCTCTGTAGCTCCCTAGGTCCTTAATCTCTTAGACTCTGCAAGGGAGAGTGCTTGTTACACTGTTCAAGGGAGTTTCAAAAACCATCCCAAAGTACCGTTTTCTGGGAGTTTTCGTCCTTTGTTTTCACCGCGATGGTTGCGGGGAAAAAAATGCCCGGATATCTGCCCCTGAGAATTTTCATCGAACAGCGAATATTGGGAGTTTAGCTTTTTAACCATCGCCGAGCTCCTTCATCAAAATCCAGTGAAGAAATCCCTCTATTGTCTGAATATCCGATTAGTTGTATTCCCTGTGTTTATTTTATCTAGGTTGCCAGATAATAAGGTGAAATGATATATGGACACCGAGTTTCTTGGCTGACTATGGATGCAACCCGTTACGCACGCACAGCAAAGCGCTAACTAACTAAAATGAAGTTCACCCGTATGATACCAACTTGAGTGAGGCATAGAAACAAGTACAGTAGAACTATTTGAATGGTTTCCGCTTTTTGTAAACAAATATTATAGTTGTAATCCGATATATTCGTCATATCAGTAATTGCAATAAGTGGACTAAGAATACATAACCCTGGGCCACCCCTTATGAATGTCTTAACAAACTGTGACTGCCGCGACTTACAACGGAAAGAGTGACCCGAATAATTTACATCCATTTATGCATACTTATAATAAAATAAACAGTTCCGAATTATCCCCCCCGGTGGGGGGGTTCTCTGAATAAAATATGGTACGCAAGCTGAAATACAAAAAACGCGTAAAGGGGTGTTATTTAGTTATTTGACGCGTATACGCGTGTACCGTGTTTAATGTCGAATATTTTAAAAATATAGAAATAAAGTGTGAAAAAGGGAATCTCGTGAATTTATGTTACCTCAACTTGGAAACAGTATGATTTTAGTCTGTATATAAGGTATCTATTTTAAGTTTCTGCACTTGGAAAGGGGTATACCTCCACAAAAATAAGTATGTGTAGTAAATCAACACGTTCCTTGGTAGTCGATTTGCAAGCAAGGAAGTTCGACATGACAACGTATCAACGCGAAATAGCACAACTTAGTAATCCACCCATGCAAAAATGAGTGAGGATCCAACGAAAAGTTTGTTTACAACAATCCAGCAATGCACGGTCTACCACAGACAAAAAAGTACGGATTGACGTGACAATTCATGGGTATAGTGAAACGATATAAAAGAAAAGAAATGACTTGGAGATATTCAAAGTCATCGAAAAAAATTGATAGCAATGGCATTATCAGCACTGTATTCCATGTGTTCCATTGATTACTTCAAATGTAAACATATATCATACTAGTATTTAAAGCGGGAGGGTCGTCACCTGCGCACGCGCTGGAATTGAGTCCCAAGCGACGATAACAACACACGCTAAAATACAAAGGCTCATGGATAGACGCTTGTTTGTAAACAATTACACGCCATGGCCATCTGACGCATGCGCAGGTTACGCCACCCGCTTCAAAACAGTAATTTAGAAATTATATCAGTTACATAATATGTAGAAATATTAATTTAACCCACACATTAGTATAATAATATGAATGTAATGCACTATACTGTCTAGTAGACGACATACTGAAGTGATAGACATAAAATTATGATTTAATACGCGTTATAACTACTAGTCAGAAATAACCAATCACGTGTGTGTGAATGCAATTGATATGCTCACAGAATAAGGCGATTCAGTTCATAATGTGCAGACCCGAGATAAATCGAACGATTAGAGACGTGACCGGTCGTAAAAAAAGGTCTAGCGTACGGATTTGTTATTTTTAACTCATAAAAGTAAATAATCAGAGTACGTGATGGTTTTCCCACGCACGAACATTCCAAGCAATACGTAATCGCCCGGGGATTTGGTCGAAATAATACGATGTTGTAAAACAACAGTCGTCTCAGTGCATGGTGTAGATTTATGCCAACAAACAAAAACTATTCTAAACATATATTTTAGTAACCGTGTATTTAAACTATTTCTGGTTTATTATATTGTCGGACCGATCTGCGAGTCTGGTGAATTACAGTAAACTCACCTGATTTCTGTTTAAACTCCATCTCATTCTCAAACGCGCGTTTATTTTGATTGACACTCAGCTACTTAATAGTTCAACCAATCAAAGAGCCACGTTCGTGATATACACACAAACCGAATATAGGGAGTAATCTGGAGT